GCTCATTTCGTAACTTATTGTATAAATAGCTATTATCTGGCCGATTCTGAACGCTGGTGTAATTTTACCGGGTTGCATCCCGATTCGTGAACGACTAAAGGCCGGGACACATCTATCATGCATTCTTCCGATCCGACTCCGATCATACAATCAAGGTCCTTATTCTTGGAACAGGGGAGCAGCGTTCCCAGAGGCATTATCCTTGACTTCACCTAGGTAGAAAATTTGACATTGTTAACAGTTAATGCACTGTTTAATTGTCAACACAGTCAAATTTTCTCTCGAGAGAAAGTCAAGAATAAGGCCTCAGGAGAACGCCTGGAAACAATGTTCCCTGTCACAAGAATAAGGACCCTGATTGTATGATCGGAGTCAGTTCGGAAGAATGCATGATAGATGTGTCCCGGGCTCTGGAGCGCCCAGAGTGCGTTCGGGCTTCCATTAGTTGTATTCCTTTCAAGAGCTTAGAGCCGTTTTACACGGCAAAGTTTCTACACGAAATTATTGCCGAAATATTTCGTAAGTTTACTATTCTTGCTTGGTTTCACTTTTTCCTGTTTGACAGGGCAAATAAAAGTCTATATAATTAGGGTCAGTTTGAAATTCATTTTCAAAAATGTGAAATCAAATTTCGTTAGTGAGAAATTAGTTTTCGTTACTTTGAAATCAATTTTCATTTGAGCGAAATTAGATTTCACTGATGTGAATTTAATTTTCATTAATTTGAAATCAAATTTCACTAGTGTGAAATAATACTGGAAATGGTATAGATGCAAATTTTGTCGACTTTATAGCCCGTTTTAGTAACACTTAACAAAAAAAAAAGATATAACATAATAGGTCTGTTCGCATAGAAATCACAAACTAGTCAAGAGTGAATATCATTAATGTTTGAAAACAAGGTTGTGTGAAAGAGGTAGGTTGGCTGATAACTTTTATGACGTCATCTGAATGCCTAAAATAATGCAAATCTCCATTAGATCTTCCTGATGGGGGATTCTCATCCTCTAGTCGCAACCTATTGTCTCGACTATCCCATTGCGGCCATTGCCTTTCTACAAGTGAGTCGGGAAGATAAGTTGCGACTAGAGGATGAGAATCCCCCCTCTGATGACGTCATCTGTTTACCATTACCAGACAACTTATTCTTTAGAAACTTTGGGTTGAAATTAGTTTTCTGACTGTTTCTGACTTGCTGACCATTTTCAACCAATGAAATTCGTGCTAACTGGTCTGTAATTGCTGCAGAAAAAGACCTATTACGCTGTGTCTTCTTCTTAGCAGCGTGGAATAGAGAGAGATAAAAAAGGTAGTTAGCATTAAAAAGAATACTCTGGGAAATGATGGCGTAAATGACTTACTAAATTCTAAATCGCAAATGTAGAAATGTCGTTAGTTACTAGAGAGTTCTCGTGCCGTTCAAATTTCAAATACCGTAACGCTATTTGACAAGTATGACACTTCTTACGGTATTGGTATTAGCGTTAGCGGAGCCCGCTCAGGGTTGCCAGATCTATGAAATTAAAAAGCGGGACTGTTCTTATCCAGAGGGAAAGCTCGCCGCAAGCGAATCATTTTTTTCGGGTGCCACGCCCAAAAGCATGAGGGGTGGGGCAAGTCCCAGATGCTAGTTTGTGCAATGAAAGATTAGGATTTTGTTGGAATTTTTGACATTTTTATACCTACAACATACAACATTGATCGTAAACTAACATATTACTCATCCTGAGAAGGCGTACGTTCGCCGGGTCTGCGAGTGACGTCACCACGTCAGCAGCTAATAGTGAAGACGTCAACCGCAGACCTCGATGAAATGCTTGCCATTGAGGCTCGTTATTTGATTTTTGATTTTGCGTCGATTTTAAATGTGAAAATAGCTATTTATACAATAAGTTACGAAATGAGCGTCTTTTAGGCACGCGACGTGAAAATTGTCCAACGAGGCAAAGCCGAGTTGGACAACACGTCGAGTGACTAAAAGACATCGTTTCGAAACGTATTGTATACAAGATTTTTTCTACTGGCATTTTATAATAAAAAAACACAATTTTATTTCATGTGAATAAGTCGATTACACCCAAAATCTTTGTTACCTGCTTTTACTTGACACCTGACACTTTTCATGCGATTTTCTTTTCAAAATTCGACATCAATAATTAAAATCCTAGAAAGTAGGTAATAACACAAACTTCTGTTTTGAGTAACCCAAACGTTCAATTCAGTAATTCCATTTTCAATATTCATAATAAATACAAAACAAAATTCAAATATGTGTTTAGTGTGTTTTTTATTTCTGAATAATGAATGACACTTTTAGGCACTAGTGCTTAAAAATTACTTTTACGCACTCATAAGTCACTTTTACGCATTCAAAAGTCACTTTTACGCACTGAGTGCCTAAAAGTAACTTTCACGCACTCAGTGCCTAAAAGAATGTCGTTTCAAAACTGAAATGACAATCGAAAAGTTGCTATTATGAAACGTCAGTAGAAAATAACTATTTATGTAACAAGTTATAATTTGAGCGTGTTTTTTGCACTAAATGTGAAGATTGGGTGGAAAAACCGGGAAAACCGGGACAATTCACGTGAAAAGCGGGACCTGAAATTAATAAAAAACAGGCGGGACCGATTAACAAAATGCGGGACTGTCCCTCCCAAGGTGGGACGTCTGGCAACTCTGAGCCCGCTATCCATTGGAACTTACCGGATATCTTACCGTAACGCTATGTTATGTCAAAATTGGATTAAGCTCCATTTATTTCTGCAAAAATAGCAACTTCTAAAAGTTCCTCCAAAAAAAGCACCAAGGAAAAATTAATCAAGCTCAGGAATCTTCAGAAATCAACAAACGTTAGAAAAGGGGCAAAAAAAGTGGGGTTAGATTTACTCAACTCAGCTGTCAAAATGTGAACAGAATAAGGGATTAGAGTGTGTTATGTGTCTTCGTACCCGAGAACTATAATTTACCATGTGAAATACCGTATTGTTAGCGGTACCGTATTAGCGTAGCGTCTGACGCACGAGAACTTTCTATTAGAGAGTTCTCGTGCTTCCGCTACGCTAATACGGTACCGTTAACAATACGGTATTTAACATGGTATTTTATAGTTCTCGGACACATAAATCTTTTAATCCCTTATTCTGTTTACATTTTGACGGCTGAGTTGAGTGATCTAACCTAACTTTTTTTTGTTTGTTTTCTAACTTATTTATCCTGAAGATTTTGAGTTTGATTAATTTTCCCTTGATAGCGGGCTCCGCTAACGCTAATACCGTAAAAACTGTCATTCTTGTCAAATAGCGTTACGGTATTTGAAATTTGGACAGCACGAGAACTCTCTATTGACGGACAATTTTTCGTAATTTATTTTACCTACGAGCGTGCGGTAAAATGCACTTTACCGCACGTATTTGCAAATGGAAAGTAGCACTTTACCGCACACTATGCGGTAAAGTTAACTTTACAGAATAGTGTGCGGTAAAGTTAACTTTACAGCATAGTGTGCGGTAAAGTGGACTACAAAGTGTGCGGTAAAGTAGAATTTGATATTTATAATCAAAAACCCCTTTTTTTTCCAGAAAATGGATTTTTGATAATTTCTAAATTTAATCTAATTTTATCAATGAATTTCATTAATTAATCTGATTCGATAACTAATTTTATCAATGCCCTTCTTTGGAGATGTAAATGCTCATAGGTAAAATTTTGTACCCAACACATGCGGAAAGTGCTTTTACCGCCCTTAACGGCTTGACCGAACTCCGCTTCGCGTCGTTCTGCCGTTGCGTGCGGCAAAGTATCACTTTCCGCATTTGTTAGATAAATAACTATTAAAGAAAAACTTAATTATGACCGGATCCGAATCGCTGTACGTTTGCTGTACAAAATAAAATGCTGGACAGACTTTGAAAATGCTGTACAATACAGCGAAATGCTGTACGTATGGTCACCCTAAAGTAGTTGAGTATGCAAAATATGAGGACCGGCAAAAATGCTCTAATTAATATTCCTATGATCCTAAAGAATGGGAAAGTACATGTTGCCGGCAGCTGGAGTGGTCCCTAACTCTCCTGCCATCGCCCAATGCAAAGTTATATGGAAAATATCTCATTTTCAAGTCATTTCACAATAATTCCTATTGATTGTACCTAAGCCTTAGGTCGTAAGGATCAATAGGAATTATTGTGAAATGACATGAAATTGTGATATTTTCAATATAACTTTGCATTGGGGAATGGCAGGAGAGTTAGGGACCACTCCAGCTGCCGGCAACATGTACTTTCCCATTCTTTAGGATCACAGGAATAAGGTTTTGAGCATTTTTGCCGGTCCTCACATTTTGCATACTCATTTCCGTCTAACTCCTGGTCTATATTGAATATAGGTAGTGTTGATTGAATGTAGTGTGTAGATTTGAAATTTTAGCACAAGAACAAAAATGGTATCTAATTTAAACTTGATTATTGAGTCACAATTATTTATCAAAATGACACAGTTTATTTTGATTTTTGAGGAATGTTAGATCGAGGGTTTCTCTGACGTGCACTTCCCCCTCGTTAGTTCCAGGTCGAGAACGGTACGATTTACTTTAATAATAAAGTAGACGTTTCACAAATTTTTCGTTTATTTTACATTATCACAATTTCCCTAAGATTTGCTATTGTCGAGCGCATGTCAAGTACCTAAGTAAAATTGAATAAGTTTACACAATGAAGGTCCTATTTGTTTTTCAGAAGATTTGTTGAAAGATTTGGTAGTAAAAATTATAACCGTTCAATCTTGCTGAACGAACCCGGGTATGTTATACTACACTATTTTGGGTAAATCCTTAAAAAATTGAATTGATATTTTTCCATTTTTCTTCTTTTAATCCTATTATTTCTGTTTCATTTTTTGTGTATTCCAGGTTCTTAAATTTTCTTTGTGTTTTTTTTTTTAAATAAAAAAATTATAGAAAATTCTAGAACTTGCTAAATAAAATACCCAGATTTACAGTGAAATGATCAAGTTAAAATTACCTGAAAAAATGCTGGGAATATAAATAAAAAAACAAAAACTAAATGGTTCAAAAGTATATTGAATATAATCATACCAAACAAACTTCTTCAACTGCACTACTAAATTGGTTCAATAGCCAGTCAAAATAAATTGAATAGGTATACATTGCCCATATTTCAAAAATTGTTGAACAGTTGAATTGGTTATGTTTAGGAATACAAGAAAAAATGTGTGAATGACACAGTTATTTCAGAATAATAAAGACAATAATAGCATAAATATGTTTAAATTTAATTTTTGCGGAGTCCTTTATTGTCTCCTGCGTTCTAAAATCACATTTTTTTTTTCTCAACTATTTCTAATAATTATTATAAATGGATGCCCTTTCACCCATAGAGCCAATATTATGTAAAGATTATTCAGAAATACATTTTTAATATTGATTTTTTTTTTTAATGAAATAATTTATTCTACTATTATAAGTTTCCAAAAATTGTATTAGTCTAATCATTATTTGCTTAAGCATTAGATTGATATAATAGTTATGCAGAGGGACTTTTTATTTTATATCGTTCCAGTAAGAAGTTTAAATGCCCTCAAAAAACTAACAAAGCATCCATAAAAAAAATATCTATAAACCAAACACTTATAATAAATGTACATTATGTATTTTGTGTATAATAACTTGACTTTAGTCAATAATTCATTTAAAAAAAAAAATGACTGACACAAAGTATCTATTTTTAAAATACAAAAAAAAAGTGACTAAAGCAAGAATAATATTTAAACATTTAACAAAAATATTACAAAAAGTGACCAACGGGAGATTAATCATCAATTAAAATATTTGAACCTCATGCAATTATTCTTCAATAAAATAGAAAAAAAAAAAAAAACAATGTGATTGATTCTATCTCCCTCATTGCTCATAAAATTTAAAAAAAAGCAAAGTGTAATAATAATAATTAAGCAAAAAGGTTATATAAATATTCATTAAAAGCTTTACGAACAATTACTATAGACGACTTGGGTCTGTTTTAGACTGTAGCTAGAAGACTACATAAATTGTGAGCTAACTTTGAAAGCGTCCCCAAATTTTCCTTCAATAGGGGAGCCAAGTGTTATAATCTGTTAGAAAACAGCTACATAAAATATTATTTTTTTAATAAAGTGATTAAATATTTTATTTATTTTTTCATAAGTTATATTGTTTGGATAAGGAATCGATTGATTCATTTTACAGTAATGTTTACTATATTTTAGCAAAGTTTTCGGCCATATTGTCTCCTATGAGCAACAGCGCAATTTTTTTTTTTTCAATTCTTAGTGGGTGTATTCCAGTTTCAATTAATAAAATTTGTCACTATAAGGCGAAATTTGCACTAATGTGACTTAAATCTTTTTTGGTTTTGTTTTCGGGCAATACTTATTTAATATTAAAGTATATTTATGTCAAATGTAATGTTTATATTTAGAAGCAACGTAAATAGTAATCACGTTGGGTGCAAAATTCAGTGATTTTGCTCTTTACGTGTATTCACTCTTTATACCCAAACTAAGACCAAATTGGATTTTTTTTTTTTTGGAACAGCATTTTCCGGTTGATAATTATTATTGTTATATTGTTCAACCCTTAAGTCTGTACACACGTTATTCTGAATAATGGCTATTTTGTTACACTAGCAATAAAGTTTCCAACTAGCAATAATCGCACCTCGGATAAGCCTCATTGGTTACGATAATGCCACTGAGCAAAGCTACACATTTTTATGTTAAAAAATAATAGATCAAATATGTAAGTGTGACTCAAAATCAAAAGGTTATTTGAATGAGAAAAGATGTATCTGAACGATTTAATATTCGAGTGCATTATTCTAGTTAAAGGGAAAAAACTGAGGTAATTACGTAACATAATTCTGAATAAAATTAGTAATTTAAAAAACAAAAAATCCCAATGATGCAACAGCCTCATAGGATTTTTTCGTTTGCTGTTGATGAAATAGTAATAATAATATTTTTATGCATCCTTCATCCAGAGCACTCTATTTTTTATACAGATTTTCGTACAAACGAGCAATTTCAGAGAATTTTGCACCAAAAAATTCTTTCCTTCAGAATTAACGCAGAAATCAGTTTTTTTTTTTAGGGGAGTGGGATCAATTTTATGACGAAATATTTCTTTTAAATATTATTAACGTTGGTGAACCATCCTTATTTTAACCTTTCAAACCAAACCCCAGGACCCGGTCCCGGAGTTGCCAAATCAACAGATCTAATATATAAATACTCATAAATATGATCACAGTTTTGCGTGCGGCGTATTTAATAAAAATATACGCGCGCATGCCGTCTCAGTCAATATAATTATTAACAGTTGCGTAACAAACATAGAAAAATATACAATATGCTCTTTTCAAAAAACAATCAGTCGCATTCGACTAATCTGAACACAGCGCGATTTTTTTATACCAGTGTCGTCACTTAATAAAAAATCCGACCCTGTAATAATCTATAATAGGTAAACGTCTCTGTGGCTTGTTTTATCTTAAATATAATCACCAATGTTTAAGTATTGGGAATTTCAAATATGATTACAGTAAGTTAAAAATTAGATTTAGAGCCAATTATCAAAACTTGTCACTTATGACAAAATCTGATAAAACTCTAGAGCTAATTTCCTCCTAAAAAATTCCTTTCAAAATACTTACTTTAACCAACAACAAAAAACACTTCTCAACAATTATCTCACTATAACCATGAATCTAAAAACACTGGTTTAGCAAAATCCTATTAAAACTTTAAAAAAAGAATAATGGAAATATGGCTTTTCACAAAAAGTCCAAACCAAAAAAATAAAATAAAAAAAAATAAATAATTAGAAGCGCGTGTAACCCCTAGCATACAATAATTTATCGAAAAGTGTGTAGTTGTTATCTGTACACGCGCACTAACAAATTATTTTAAACTTCAACTGAAACACGAGCATCTCCTGATCCATCATGGTCCGTCTTTTTCTTACAGTCTTCTAATTTCTCGTCTGCTGGGCTAGAGGATTTGATGATGGCCTCTAGATTATTGACTGGAGCGTCTCTATAAAAGAATCAATGTTACTATTTATAATTTAAAAACTTTTATAGATTATTTAAATGAATTTTTAATAGAAAAACCCAAAATCCATGAAGAATTTTATATTGAAAGGAGAAAAAGTTAATATAATCATGCCTTAGCAAGTTACATACCCATTTTCAGTTTTAACGCTTTTAACAGAAGGCTTTGCTTGCTTATCCTTGTTAGATTTGTTAGTGTTGCGTTTTCTGATACCCTATAAGAAAATTATGTTAATTAAAAGACAGATTTCATGCGATAGTAAAAATGGAAAAGCACCTAGACTTTAAAAGAGAAAAATTATGTGCCGAAGCCATGCAGATGCAGAACTTGCTTGATAATACGAACATAAAGAAAAAACATCCTTTTTTTGCGTTTGAATCAATTTTATTTATTTTTCTAAGCCACGATAAAAATTGAATAAGACTTAACAAAACCATACGACTAACATGAAATATTATTTTTAGACATTATGTACCAATAAAATGTGTACAAATATAAATATCCCAAGTCTTTGGTCCATCCTAATACTCCGCAATTTCGCGTTCTGGCCCATCTAGTGACAAAGCTCTAGTACCGTATAGGTACATCTCGAGAATTTGTAAAGTACATTGTGCTACAAAACGAACAAACGGCTTCACATCGCCCATATTAGCAACTTTCAATGTATAGTAATATTTGTCTCTCTGTTCTTTTAAAATCATAACGGGAGGATAACCAGATTTAAGAAGAATTAGATTCATAATGAGCCTACTTGTGCGTCCATTGCCATCAACAAATGGATGAATATTGACTAATTTATAATGAGATAGAGCTGCATATCTTACAGGGTGCATCCTACGAGCTTCTTCAGAGTTCAACCATTTCACGTAACTTTTCATCAGTGTTGCAATTTGGTCAGGTGGAGAAGAAACGTGGCTACCAATAAATACCGTTGTATCTCTTAATACTCCCGATTTCATAGGATCCACATATCCCATGACTCTTCTATGAATGCCCAAAATTTTTTTGATACTAATATAATTTGTTCTAGTCAATAATTTTACATACTGTATAGCTTTCTCAAGGCCCAGTATCTCATTGTGTTCCAATAGAGTTTTTCCACTTATTACATGACCTGTTTCCAAGACATATCGCAGCTGTTCTACTGTCATTGTATTCCCTTCAATGCCAACTGTGTGGTGAATATGCAGATAATAGGCTTGTTTTTTAACACTGTCAAAGTTATCCAACTTCATGCGTTCCTTCAACCTAGTTTTTAATTTCTCTATTTCATGAAATAATTTTAAATCCAACATGTCCACTACTGGAGTTGTGCGTTCTTTATTTGATAAGGCGGCTCGATGCTCAGGAGAATATGATAGGGCCTTACAATATAATTCATCAGCAGTGACAATATCATTATGTCGTTCTAAAAATTCTCCATACCAATTGAGTATATCTGCATTGCCAAGCGCCATGACACTAGCATGTTCAAAGAGTTTCATTGCTTTATTATTTTTACCTGCCAACTTAAATGCAAGAGCCGCTCTAATGGTGTAATAAACTTCAGAGTCTGTATGTCTTCTATCATCATCTAAAACGTTCATACTACCACTTTCTTCTGAATCCAAATTTAAAGCAGATCTTAGGTCATTTAATATAGAATTTTCTACAGAATCTTTATTGTAACTCTCAATGGGGTAGCCTAATTCAGAAGATCTTACATCTTTTGGAATGAAATCTTCAAATTCAGGATTAAAATTATGAATTGTAAATGTTTCATGGACATTGACAATAAAGTAGTATTGTTGAAGTAAAACTAGCAACACACATATCACAGATATAAGGATTGATATTGTTATCACAATAATATTCATTTCTGTTTAGTGGCAATGTTCAATGGTTTTTTCTGTCACAATTCTAATATCAACATCTCGCCCTCACAATGTTGGACATTTTATCATTACTTTCAGATGCCGTTCTAGAGAAATAAATAGCACTAGCTTTCAGGAAACATTGAGGCATCCATGTCCAAAAAATAAAATAAACAAAAACAATAATATAACGGAATTGAAGGTCGGAAGCACCACTTGGGCCAGGCCAGCTTTTAAAACTTCAAAAAATCTTCAAAGGCTGAAACTGGCATTGCATCAATGTGACATTGTAAAGGCTATGCCACTCTATACGGTAACCAGGTAGGTAACTGAAAATGATCTTGAAAGTTTTGTTGGTCTAGATCTGTTATAGGGCTTGATTACATTGCACCAGATGTCCAGTGCAATTTTTTAGGGCAAAAATTTCGAGTTTCAGAGCCGATGTTTATTGGTAAGAACACGACTCCTTATTTTGGCGTTGCAATAGACAGGGAGTTCGATTGTACAGTGTGTCCCATTTTGGTTGTCCATAAGGGATAACTCGGTTGCTATTGGAGTTAGAAGGATACGGTTTCCGCGAACGTCGGCTACTTTTTTGTCAAACGAAAGATGGCACCAACAGAATTGTCATTGCTCTTTTTGTTTTTCAGATACAAGGTGTTTTTGAAAAAGTTGCATTTTGAGACACACTTTGTATCTCAGTTCTCTCATAAGTGATCGAAAAGGTGACAACTGTTTCTCATAGAGATTTTTAGTTGCGTAGCTTCCAGTGTCTTAGTCAGTTTTTCTCTATTAGTGATAGTGATATATTTCAAATTATGAGCCAAACATACGTTTTTTCGAATGAGACACCCTATATATTATAAATTCATTGGATAGCTCTGCTTTTGCTGATTTCAATTATATCAAATTCGATAGGTTTATCTCTAACAGTTTTCGAGCAAAAACTGTTTTCCTGTTTTTTTTATGATACACAATGTGTTAGAGAGAGACCTTTCCTATTTTCCTTACAGATACAAAGTCCTTTTCTGATACATTGTTTCTTATGTCAAAAACAGACATGATCAGTGGCGCACCTAGAAAATATGTTTGGGGGCCCTACATAGATTGTGGCTTGTGACAAAAATCAAAAAAAAAGATTTAGGTGTCAGGGTGCCACGCCTTGATGTTCCTACATTTTATATACATAAAAATACAGTTTTAAAGGGGTGGCCTGCGGAGGGGGCCTAGTCCAATGACCTCCTCTGGGTGCGCCACTGGACATGATAGAGATAAACCTATCGCACTTTATATCATTAAAATCAGCAAAAGCAGAGCTATCCAATGAGCTATTAATATACAGGGTGTCTCATTTGAAAAAATCTTTGTTTTGTTCATAATTTAAAAACCATCACTTCTAGAGAAAAACTGACTACGACACTGGAAGCTACGTAAAAATATCTATAAGAAACCGTTGTCACCTTTTCGATCACCTATGATTTAATTTAATTTATTTACGACTAATGTATAATGTGCGTATTATATTTGTGATTTTGGCAGTATAATGACATATGTTATTCCTCCAGGGATTAATGACGAGTAGCGGGATTAATGGTCATTATTCCACAAAAGTGTCAGTGTCAAACGTGTAGTGCTTGTGGATTTGTATTGAAAATTATGAGACGGATGAAATTTGTTCATTGAATATCTCAAATAAATGAATTTGTCGTAAATAAAGTAGAGTATAGTACTCGCAATAATGGCTATTATTCCCTCTGAATGTTACTCCCTCGCCGCTAACGCGGCTCAGTTCGTAATAATCCTCGGGAATAATAGCTATCATTATTGACTCGTGGTATAATCTACTATTAATTTTTAATTTATTTCCAAGAGTACAATTTATTTAGTAGCATGTATGATAACAGATAACAGTAATGCTCCTAGAACAGTTCACCTTCCCAAAGACAAGACGTCGCGCTGGGATTTTTGTGATCTTATTACTAACTAACAAAATAATATATAATATAATAAGTATAAATAAAAAACTAAAATAATATATCTATATATATAAAACACAGTTGTGTTGGTATTTGAGCACTTATAACTCGAGAACGGCTGGACTGATTTTTATGATTTTTGCTTTATTGGATTTGTCTTTGTCCATCCTAGGATAATAAATCGAAAAAATCCAAAAAAAAAACAAAAAAAAATTTTATCTATTTTACTTATTTATGAAAAAAACTCACTAAGCCCGCATACGGCGCCATCTCTTATAACCGATACCAAGTTTACCGTCACATTTTCATTGCAAACCATGTGGATTTTATTGTCACACACTTTGCACAAAAACAATTTGAGGAAAGCACTTTATTTTTAATTGTTCTTCACAGTAAAAATGTCCAAAAATAAATAGAATGACAATGTTTTAATTGTGTATTTTATTTTGTTGTTGGTTCGTTCATTCCGAAAGAGCGCGAACTGATCTACCTGTCATTTCTTGACGCTTGACCATTGACGTTCTGTGGCTAAGTTCCGTTTCTCCTCTGAGGCATCCCTTGACAGCCGTGTTCCGTGCCGACTGTTCGGAGTGCTCCGTCCGGCTGGTGTCGAGTGGCAGAGAGCCAGGTTATGAGTCCGCCACAACCATTTTGTATACGGCGCCATATATGATAGGTACCTAAAACGAAGCTCGCCGTTGCGCGGTAATTTCATTGCAGATACAGTAGAACAGAATACTGCTAAGGAACTGGAGCTATTCTGAACAGAACTATTCCACTATTCCGATCAGATAAAGTGGTGCAGAAAGAGTAGATCAGATAGAATAGTGCAGATACAGTAGAACATATGGAGTATTGCAGTGCATGCAGTGCAGATAAAATGAAACAGGGCTGCGCTGGAGATTTTTTTTGTTTACATTTTTTGAACATTCCTGTGCCTGAGTTTATTTATTTGGTGGTACACTTTATAAGAATAATGCCCACAAGATGCCTAAAAAGGGATGATGTAAAATTTTAATTTTAGGTGACTTCTGATCCAGAGAGTAAAAATTAATTTTCTTCGACCAAAGCCAAATTCACCATCGAAAAAAAATTAATTTAATTCAGTTAATAGATACGTTAACACAACATTTAATAGGTATTTAATAATTCAGAGGAGGTACGAAGTTCGCCGGGTCAGCTAGTAGGTATTAATAATTATATGAATAGGTACGTGTAAATAATAGTTATTTATACACCAAGTGAGTTAAATGAATAAACATTTTAACTCACGTGATGTATACAAAATTTTATCCTATTTTGATAGACATCTAAATTAATAAGAATCAAATTTTAAAAAGAATATTCATTTAGTAGCACATGAAAGGTCTAAAATTGAAATTGGTGGTTGCTAGGGTATAACCAGTTGTTTGTTTGTATTTGTAGCAGATTCTATACTGGTAGAGTGACTTAAAAGACCGAGAGTGAGTTAAAAATATTTTAAATCACTCAGGTGATAAACGTCTACTTACCTTTGCTATTATGCGTTCAATAATGTCATTTTTAAACGTCAAAATGGGATAAAATATTATTATATCATAAGCATTCAAATGTTTACTAAATTATTAATTTCTTCGCGAGAGAGATCAAAAAGAATTGATTTTATTGTTTTTTTAAATTGTTCCAATGAGATTTGATTTTCTATTACCAATTTTTTTAAATCGAGTGGCCAATGGTTAAATACTTTTGGAATCAAATATATTATATGGTATCTCTGCCCAATATTTTTGAACGATCTTTTTTCTTCGATATTATAATTAGCTGCATATCTTGTATTTTGCCTGTATGTAAAAACATTTAGGTCAGATTTATTTTTATAGCAGTATACACAAATCTGCAAATAATACACTTGTCTTATATCTAAAACTTTTGATTCTTTATATAAAAGGTCTGATGGGTATTGATGATTTTTAAAGTGCATTATTTTTAAGATACCCTTATGGACAATGTTTAGTTTATTCAAGTGTGCATCATAAACTGCGCCCCAAGCTAAGATTCCATATAGTATTCGACTTTCAATAAGTGCATAGTATAGAATTTTTAATTGGTTGATGTCTAATATATTTCTAAGATACTTGAATCTGAACAGCATCACTCTAATTGTGTTTGTGACTTTTTTTGTATAGTGATTCCATTTTAAATGAGGATCAAAGTGAACCCCTAAGTATTTAATGGTGTTGGTAAATTTTATTTTGATTTCATTAATACCAAGTGTGTCGAAATTTGGCATGTTTCTGCTGCTACATGTAAATGGCATAAAGCCATAAAGTAAGTTTTTTTGTAATTTACAGTTAAAAGTTTGTGATCGAAAATATCAAAAATTATTTTTAGGTTTTTTTCTGCTAAAATTTTTAATTCCTGCCAGGTTTCAGCAGTAAAAAATATAACACTATCGTCACAAAAGCCTAAAATCTCTCCGTTTAATGGTTGCTCAAGAAAACTGTTGATGTAAAGGGTAAACAAAACGGGGCCAACTACCGTACCCTGTGGGACACCACAAAGAACACTCTCCTCCCCACTGACATAATTTTTTATGTTAGTATTTTGTTTTCTATCTGTAAGGTAGGAACGAAAGAGTCTCCAGGACGACCCTCGGAATCCCAGATCCCGCAAAGACTCCAACAACTGCGAATCGCTCACAGTGTCGAAAGCCTTTGCCAGATCAAGAAAAACAGAAAGTGAAGGTTTACCCCTCTCAAGCGTGTTGTAGATTTTGACAGTTAATGTTGTGATAGCATCTTGCGTACTTCTCCCCTTTTGGAAATCGAATTGTTTGTTGGAGACTTGGAGATAATTGAATATTTTATTAAGTTCAATTCAATTCAATTCAATATATTATTACAATTTTAAAAGATTTACAATAATAATTATGGAATGTATAATATACTTTAAATTATATCAACATAGTGTTGTGGGGTACCTAGAAAACTAAATTTCTGTATGTACCTACTACATATAAAACTGGATTTTGATAATTTCTAACTTAAA